CTATTTATTAGTAGTATTAACATCACTGACCAAATGCAGGACCCTGAATGGCAGCCACCTGGATTTTTTAGAGAGCATCTTGCATTGAGCAATATGTAAAAAGAGAGCTTTTCTATTCATCTGTCCTGATATTTACAACTCTCGTCACAGTGGTCTATAGCCATTGGCAGTAGCGTAGCTAGCGGGGTGCAGGGGAAGCAGCCGCTTACCCTTAGCACATTTTCCAAAAGTGGCGCCTTAGTTAGGGGTGACCATGATGCCAGCGGGCGGGACCCAAGCTCTGCTCTGAAGCTTGGCCTGCCGGCCGGCGCTAAAATCCTGCAGACAAGGGGGGGCAACACGCCCGGAGGAGCCATGGGGAGGGGGCGGCACAGCCGGAGAAGCGAGGGGGGGCGCAGCATGGCGGCCCGCAGCGCGGCCAGAGGAGCGATGGGGGGGGGTGCAGGCTGGCGGTCCGCAGCGCAGCTGGCAGCCATGGTGGGGTGGCAGGCGCAGCCGGAGGAGCGGGGGGGGGCCCCGCGGGGGTGGCACGGCCGGAGGAGCCATGGCAGGGGAGGGGCGGTGGCCCGGAGGAGCCAGCCAAGGGGGGGGCACGGAGCGGCCGGAGGAGGAGCCAAGGGGGGCGTGGCCAGAGGAGGAGCCAAGGGAGGGGCTTTTTTATGTTTGCTCCCCCTCCTCTTAGAACCTGGCTACACCACTGGCCATTGGGTCAAGGCTAGGAAGCAGGCTGGAGCAGAAGAGATGGAGAGGAACGTGAAGTGGGCGATCTGTTCCTCGCTGTTGAAATGTGCACAGACAACTCTGGAGAGTGAAGTTCTTCATTTATCCTCAGCACCAATACAGCACGGGTAGCAGCACTGTACACTCCCCCTGCCCCCATGCTGCTCTCTGCCAATGTGTCACAAACCTGACCTGTACAGACTACCTTTAGGGGTGAAATGGAGTTCCAGCCCCATAGCCCATTCAGTCCTTGGCCACTGCTGGGATCGCCAGCTATGGGTTTTGTTGTGTAAGCATGTTGCTGTATGGTGAACTGTAACCCTTGCGGAAGCATACCAGAGATACTGGAAGCAATAGCCCCAATTCATCCCTGCGCTTCTCAGCCATATATTCCTGGGATCTGACAGCTCTACTTCCCGCACTACTGTTCCTGCAGGAACTTCCAACACAGCATGTGCACTAGGAATATTTCCAAGGCTATGGATGTGTAGCTGAAGTGCTACTGCACTAAATACTTATTCACGGTTTCTGAAACCATTCCTTGCACCCATAGGCGGGCAGACAAGCCAGGGGGCTGCTCTGACCCATGTTGGAGCTGAACCATGTGCAGTCAAACCCAGAATAGCTGAGGCACAAAAATTGTATAAAGCACAGGGCTGAATTAGGCCCCTCATGCTTATGGAGGCCAGCAGCAGGCATGGTGCCTCTAGGTCAGTGGTTTTCAACTGTTCATGTACTCCTGGGGCTCCGGACAATGTCTAAAGGGTCCGCAAAAGACAGACTGAAAACTAAGTCATCAGAATTCAGCTATATATACAGACAATAGATTTCCAAAGGCGTCCGCACCTCCATTCGAAATTTTCAAAGGGGTCCGCATCATAATTTGAAATTTGTTAGGGGTCTGCAAATGAAAAAAAGATTGAAAACTACTGCACTAGGTGCTCGGGGTAAGCGCACACCTCTGCTAAGTCTGTGTTTCCCTCACCTTAAAAAGACTGCCCATGATCTTGCCAATCTATCACCACATGCAAGGTGGCCTATAACTACACCTCCTTCCCATGTTGTAAAAAG